TTTGCGATGAGGGATAATTATGCCCCGCCCAACCCTCCAAGTTGTAGCACTATTCTATATCGGTTGTGTGAAATTCCGTACTTAGTATAATTGCAGCTATCATTTATGCCTGAAAGTCATCTCATCCACCTAAATACCTGAGATTTCGCAATTTCGTCTTTATTTTTACAAACAGGTGCAACAAAAATTTTCCACGAAAATTTGCCTATTCCTCCAAATTTCAATTAGAATAAGTAAGTTTGCGGATACCATGACATAATATATTACCTCCTGGTTTACATCAATTGTACCTCATATTGAATTTCATCAATTCATAGCGATTTATAACATTCCTGTTTTTCAATAGCAGTTTCTGTAATACCACCTTGCACATCGAACCCTGAAATGACACTTAAAATTAATGCACTACAAAAAAGAAATAGGAGCCGAGATAGCGTAATCGGTATAGCAACTGTCTACGGACTGTACGACCGAGAGACTGGAGTTCGAGTCCCCCTAGAGTCTTCTTCACTTCGTCCAGACCGGCTCTGGTATCCACCCAAACTCCTATCCTATGTGTACCTGGTGTTTCTTTCTTCGGGGATAAAGCGGCCGGGGCGTGAAACTTACCACTCACCTCCAGTTAGTGCCAAGGTCAAGAATATATATATATATATATCCACTCCCCCATACGCCTTCATGGCGTAGTGCTTAATTAGTTAAGCACAGGGACAACTTTATCTTTACAGGAAAGAAATAATGAATTATTCTTATTTGCAATGAAATTAAGATTTCATAACCAAATAATATAACAGATGCAATATATTCAGTCAGCCATTGTGTCAGTTTCATCTTTACTACGTATTTTCAATCGTAGTACGAATTCCGTTGGAAATCTTATGAGTGAAGAAGAATTTCAAAGGTTAGCCAAAAGTTAAAAGAGTACAACACAGTACAGGAACTAGTGTGCAGTAACACTCGATGTTTCTGTTAAAGTCCCTCTGATGTGAATTCATTTGAATGCACGCCCAAGGGGGAGCTAATTAAACCCAGCAACATGTACTGCCCTGAGTGGCATACAAATATGAAGCCTCAAAGGCCTTGCTCTATCCGCTCAACCATCATCCCAATTGTAGCCGGGCATTTCATGTTTGAAATTCAGAACTACGATATAAAAACAAATGTTCCTCCTGTGTGTTCTCTGCATTAGCTCCATTTATTTTCTGGTTATAGCAACTTAACACTCTTGGCTTCCATTCAGAATTTCCATGCCAAGCTCCTGTATTTTTTTCTCGCTTTTTAATCGATTTACTTACGTCATTTCAGTTTCAGGTTGTTTAAAATTCAATTGGGCGGAGATTACATAATGTGAATAGGAAGGGATAAGGAAAAAGCTTACTTGAAGCAGGAGAGACTGAAAGAAACACTTTAAACATCTGCAAGTGCAGCCAATGTCAAGAATCGAACCTGAGACTCCCTGCCAGATAAGGAGTTCTGACCACTCAACCACGACTTTCGGATAAGCAGGGCGTTAGAAAAATTGTTACGGGCTTTAACGTTATATAGTACTGACTTAAATGAGCAAAAAGTCCCAGTGGATATGTGTCCTGAAACCAACGCCTGCTGAGATACGGCCAATGCTCGTTTGATCCCTACGGTACATACTCCATATTGTTCCTATGCATTTCAACACAGTTACCAACTCTTCGTCACGCAGAGGTGCGCGCTCTGTCGAAAATTCCTGGTTTCACTCAACTCTCCTGACATGCATTCTCTGCTCGTTGCTCTAATACGCCTAGGCCATTGATCGGCCCTGAATACACCAAAGAATTTATGTGTCCTCACAGCCAAAAATCCAGAGGATTACGGTCAGGAAATCGTGTAGGCAGCTGGCTGGGCCTCTTCGTGCTATCCATTGTTCACCGAAAGACTGGTTCAGGTGCTGCAGTACAATGTGGAGAACATGAATTGGTGTCCCATCACGCATGAAGCACCTGTGTTTTCGTTGATAAAGGGGCACATGTTCCAAGAGTTCTGTAAATCATTCACCAAAAAAATGATACATTGCACCGGTTAGTTTTTTAATTAAAACAACTGATCCTAAGTGTCATCCACCTAAGATACCAACTCCAGACAGTGACTCGCCCATATCCCAGCAGGCATTCATGTCTAGTTACATGCTGACTGGGACTTCTAATTTAAGCGAGTGTTATACCCCCTTAAAGAGTTTCACGGATATCTCATGCTCCAAAGGGAGCAACAGGAAGTTTGAGAATGAATACCCCCTTAAAGCCTATAGCCCCATTTTTAACGCTCTGTAGAAACAGAATGTGCAAAAATATCTCCCGTGTCCAGCCCGTGGGTGGCCCCTTTTACTGCGCATACATTCTCACTTCTGTCGCCATGTGCGGTAACCAGATTGGGGTGAATATTCGGGAAGCCAAATTCTACCCGCCGGTCATGGTAGCCGAGCGGTCTAAGGCATGTACTGTATTCGCTCGCTTGGAAACCGGGATCGTGGGTTCGAATCCCACTCAGGGCATGGATGTTTGTGTGCGTTTTTCTGTGTTTGTCTACAGGTAGAGGCCTTGCGACGAGCTGATCACTTGCCCAAGGAGTCCTACCGTATGTGTAAGATCTAGAAAAACCGAAGTGAACGGAGAAGTTCATGGAGGTAGGCCTAGGCCCACTGGGGTTGTAATGCCAAGGAAAAAAATCTATCCAGTCCCATCCCGCTGTTGCTGTGGCTCTGACTGCATGTCATTAAATTGTAGTGTTATTAGTGATTATTGAATTGAAGAAGTTACGGAAGGAGTTAGTCATGGTATATTCTAACTTAATATCTCAGAATTTGCTGGGCCACATGAGGAGAACAGCGATAAGCTCAGTCTGGGTATTCGTCCCGGCCACTTTCGAAGCGAACACGTCCCGAGTACAAGATAGCAACGTTACTGCATGATCTAACTCGCTGGATATTCTTTTATTTGATACGCAGTAATACAGGACCATTCTAACTGGGAGAATGAAAATGATCTGTAAGTGTACAGCAACAAAACAATGAATTTTTAATTTTAAAATATCCAGTTCGGACTTTGTCCCGCGTTTATATTTCATGAATGCCCTCACAGTCTCCGGAAAATGATGAGCCAATTGCTTAACACACAATACATGTACAAACTTTCTAGCTTTATAATAGGGTATTAGTTTTGTTTGGATGAATTGTAGAATATATGGAAAGGAACAGTTCAGAAATACTAAACCATTAATCGCCCTATAGACTGAAGAACACCACGAAACACTATCGGACCAAACTTCGAAAGCGGGAACCTCCCCAAATACGAAACAAGTGCTTCCACTCGACCCTACGTTCCGTGGCGCTCCACGCACATCGAAATATTTAGGGATGTTACAGTGATTACTGTTAGTAGTAGTAGTAGTATAGTAGTAAAATCAAAGATATAATCTTCTCAAATGCCGGTCACGGTAGCCGAGCGGTCTAAGGCATCTAGTGTCTTCACTCGCTTGGAAACCAGGATCCCACTCAGGGCATGGATGTTTAGTTTGTGTGTGTGTGTGTGTGTGTGTGTGTGTGCGTTTTTCTGTGTTTGTGTACAGGTAGAGGCCTTGCGACGAGCTGATCTCCCGCCCAAGGAGTCCTACCGAATGTGTAAGATCTAGAAAAACCGATGTGAACGGAGAAGTTCATGGAGGTAGGCTAAGCCCCACTGGGGCTGTAGTGCCAAGAAAAAAAAACTTCTCAAATATAAGTGACTTATCGACCTACTAGTGTAAACTTTGCCAATCTTGTGTAACTTTCAACAGCTATATTATTAAAACCTTGGAGAACGTCTGGATTCTGAACTCCACATAATCATCTTAGCTTTAAAGCACAATAGACCACTGTAGGTCCCGGTGCAAGGGCCGAGAAGGCCTACCCCTCATACATTCATTCATTCATCTTAGCTTTATATTTCCTCAGTGTATGAAACTGTTCCTTCTAGTACGCAGCATAACCTCCTCCTCTCCTCATCCTCCCGCTATCTATGCAGAATGTCTCGCAACAGGACGTCCGTAGCTCTACGGAGCGCGGTTGTACCTGAGAAGCTGATAATCAAACTGGACACTGAATTCCAGCCTACAGGCTTTCTTTACAGAATAACAGGAATGCCTTGTGTGGAGGTCGTGTCTGTCTGTATATGATCTACTATCAAGGTCTAAATGATTTCATAGATTTTCTTAAAATTCGGTATAGGATACTTCCATTGTCAATTGCCATACATTTCCGACTTTCATCTATACTGATTCACAGTACATCCTAGTTCAGTTTGATCCTTGCGTGTCATAAGCCATCTCAAAAGTTTTGTTCATATTCAATATAAGAGACTTCCGGCAATTTATAATCTCATACGTGTGTGGTGAAATTAATCCGAGCCCGGCTCCTCGCCTAGCCGGACTGCGAGCCAGACTCGTACGTGTATGGGCCGCCTAAGGCATGAACTGTCTTCGCCTGCTCGAACGCTGGGATCGTTGGTTCGAATCTAACTCAAGGATGTTTGTATCTTTTCCATTTATTCTACGTTGTTGTTCTGTGTGCAGGTAGCGGCCTTGCGACGGGCTGTTCCCCAGTCTAAGGAGTCCTACCGACTGTGTAGAATCAAAAAACTGAAAAAGCGGCCAAGGCCCAACAAAGGGCTGTAGAACCATAATAATTCAATTGAATTCTTTATTATTTATGTGCTGAGCCAACAGCCACAAGGCCAATTACAGACACAGCACAGTGTACATAAAAGTAATTTCATTATGGGCAATCACAACATAAAGTAAAAGACAAATTAAAGGCAAGCACTGGAGGAAAAACACATTAATCCATAGAAGGAAATAAGGAGACAAAGGAATAGTAGTAGTAGTAATCCCAATCCATGAAGTTTTGTTTGACTAGGATAAAAATGGTGTTTTGGTTGACTTCATGAAATGATTGAACGCTATAGATATATTCTTTCCTTGAACTGTTATCCCGACAGACTGCTTTCGACTACTCCGATGTAACAACACTAAACGAGGTTCGAAGTCTGAAAGGCGACGGTGAGTTGGAGTGGAACGACCTGATCGGGTTTCCTGTTGCCCTGCGGAAGGTAGATGCGCTCAGGTAAGGTTATCTGGGTCTTCTATTTACATCCACATCCCGAAATTTGAGTTCAGATCTAATTTACCCAACCAATCCACTTAGTGTTAGCGATCTACTTAACAACTGTAAGATTTGAGGCACTCTCGGCGATGACTATGGGATGTGATACCGTGTAGTCTCATATAAGTTTACTTATGTTTCGGAAGAATTTACTGCTTCTATTTTCAGGGCCGAAAAGTACGCCAAGCAAAGGATCAGAATGAGTAGAAGAAAGTACCCTTTTACATTACGACGCATCTCAAAAGAAAACACTCATTAGTAGACTTACGTCCGTAATTGAACACTGAGTCTCCTGCCTCTAATGATCCTAAAGAAGAAAACACGTGATTAATAACTGTGATGATTGTGAAATTAAAACGCCACAATTCCAACTATTCTTTACGTCATCTTGAATTTCATTTGTCTCGTAAGAAGATCGAGTTCCAAAATTAGTCGATAGCAACTCTCAGCTTGTCTTTCTTTCCCGGAACGAGAATTTGCCAAAGCACTGGAACTAATTTTTTTAGCATCTTCACCGAATTCAGTATGTGTTGTTCGTGTCTGGCCGGTTTAGACTCGTATAACTGCCATGCATGAAGTACAGGTAGAGAGGAGCTGTTAAAGTACTGTCAGATCCGACTAATCGGTTGAGGTATATCAGTTTCTCCTGTTGGAACCTATTCTTTTGTTACGACTTTTCTTTTTTCAAATTCGCATAGTGGGGGGCGGGGGGTTGAGTCCAACTGGGTCCACTCGGCACGGCGGCCACTGATTGGCCTATTGTAGCCTGCCCCGGGAGATTATGATGATGGAGAATGTGGTGGAATGAAGATTGTCAGGGGAACCCAAAGTGCTGGGAGAAAACCCACCCCAGTGCCACTTTGGCAACCACAAATCCCACTTGACCAGACCCGAGATCGAACCCGGGCCGCCTCGGTGGGAAGCCAGCGACTAACCGCTTGAGCTATGGCGCGGCATTTTGTTACTATTTACAAGTATCGCCTGTGTCGGAAGTCGCCATCAAGGGGCAGGATTTTGATTCAAAACAAATCTATTCATTTACAACATTGATATATAAAATAGATAAAAAATATTTCCTCCGTGGCCTTTAGACCACAAGCGAACTATACTGACCGAGAGACCGCCGCTTATCGGCAAAGTTAGTACCAGCTTTTGCGGATAGAGAGTGTTGCGTGGTCAGTTCAACGGATTCCCACGGCCGTTAATCTTGGTTTTCTAGACCGGAAGATAAAGAAAATATAAGTAATCCTTAAAAGTTAGCACGAGTAATAATACCTTGTTTCGATATTACATGGTCATCACTTAAGTGGGGTTTTAGGTGTCAATTATTTGCTTGACCTGACGTCCAAATTTATATTTATTTAAAATTTTATTTTAACATTTTAAAAAGTTGTTTTTATATAATTTATACGACTTCATTGAATATTTTTCTGTGTTTTCAAAGTTTATTTTATTTTGTAAGATTTGAGGCTTTCACGGCGGTGACTATGAAGAANTTATTTATTTATTTTGTTAGTTCCCTTCTTGTCTTATCATCTTTGTCATGCGTAGTAGTTATAAGTGACATCTTTGTACAGTAGCACTCAAGGTCTATTACAAGACAGCCTAATATCCCAACAATCCAGTAGAATTAAAGAGAATGGAGAGCATATAAATACAGCGCTTCCCCTGGCAGGTACTCGTATCTCCCGAACACAAGTCAAGTGTTAGTGGTAGAGCTAACTTGTTCGGCAATATAAATCCCACCCCACATGAGAAGCAATGTAGTGGCTCACTTGTTACGACGAGTTGGCTGATTAGAGATAGCATATCCAGTTGGAACCCAGCGCTCAGGCGGAATAAGGCGTAAGCCACTTGGTTTTCCTGATCGTAATTAAATATGCCTGTAGTTTCGCAGTTTGTTGATCTTGACTCGTGTGTTATTGACAGACTGCCAAAATACATTAAAAATTTCAATAAAATAAACCGATTTGTTATCCTGAAAGTTACAAAGAAATTTCGCTGCAATGTTTAAGCATAAATTCTAAGATATTTGTTTATTGTTGTGGGAAAATATCGAAGAACTTTCCATTAATTTCTCAGCCTTAATCCCTGGAAAAGAAGCAAATGACAAACTGGATTATAACAAATTAATATTAAGCTTTTGACTGAATATTGAATTTGTTGATCACTTATAAACACCACTCAGAACTACATGTAATCACAGCGATATCGCTATCCACACTACAAATAATTAGGACACGCTAAATCTTCTCAGTCTTAATTGGCCGTATCCTGGCAACGGATATACTACGTATAAGAGTCCCACATAAAGTCTTCAATCACACTAAATCTTGTCTTCTCAGGCCGACCTTCAAATCTGAACTGTCCTGTACTGATCTACCTGTCAGAGTCAGAATTACTTTACGGCTGGCGGTTTACCACCAAACGGTTCAGCTTGGCGCCAAGACCCTTGAGACTCATGACCAGTATTTTTTCAGCTGAACACTTACGGTTACAGTCCTTATGTAACATCCTCTCTGACGAGGTGATGGGTCTGTCGTTACAATTGTTGTTGGTCCTTGCCAGTGCAGTCATTCTCGAGTCGGAGCCCCGCGGGACTCCTGACAATATTTTACTCTCTCAGATTCGAGACCCCCTCCCTCTATTTACATCCCCCACGAATAGGGTGGTCATGTCATAATACTTTTGATACAACACAGAAACTATATCAAGGTTGTCTATAGTTGCCGATGATTTTAGGGCACTTTAATGTTGAAATATTCTTCGTTGCCTTCTTACGCATAAAATATCGTATATTTTATAACGTATATTAATTTATTGCGTGCAGTTCAACTACAAAACCTTGTGAAATCTATATAGCAGGTGCTGTGCTGGATTGGGCATTATGATGTTCATAATTTTAAGCTAAAACAAATAAATAAAAACCTTTTGTATTGACAAACGAATCATACTGAACACGTAAGAAATTAGAATATAATATCAAAAATATTGACTAAGAGTTTATCCGCTAAAAGCCAATGAGGAAAACACCTTTCCTGTACAAGAGCGAGGCTATACTTTCAATCTGGAAAGCAACTCGACCTTAAAAATATCTCCATTTCGCTACAGCCGGGATTTCTTCAGAATATCCATTAGTCAAACAATCAAATAAACAAAAGTTCACAGCAGTGTTTCTAGTTAACCATTGTAAATGTGTTAGTGGAATCTCTAAACGCTGGGATATGTCCTGCCAAAAGTAATGCGTTTACTGGTCTCGCAATTTCTGTTACAGTACGTTTCATATGTCATTATGAAGCTTCATCAGTTGGTATGGTACAAGCATCTGGCACCCGGTGGTGGAGATGCGGTTACTTCATATCTTCCTAAAACAAATATCTCGACAGATATTTTTAGTTTGTAAAGGTCACTCAGCATAGCTTCACAACAATATATGGAACAGAGTTAGTGTTGTTCTAACCTAATAAGTTTGAAACGGTTTGCAATGCAGTGATGTTTATATCGGGCTTAAGAAACTCGTACAGTTGTGATATTTATGTCAGTCTTCATAAATAAATTCAGGGACGATCGCATGGGCTGTTCTGTTCAATGCATGCAATTTGTGTGATATTCATTCTTCTTCTATTGCTTCCAGAAACAAACAAAAAAAACAAAGAAATAAAAATGTTATGTGATAAATGTTTTAATAATATTTCAGTGAATGATTTCTCTTCAATTTTACTTTTCTGTTGTAGGAAGTCCCGTTTGCGTGAGCGGCTGGAGGCTCTATTTGGGTCAACATAAACGTCAAGAACTCCGACGAAACATCAACAGAGGATTGCAAGGACAAATGCCGTGTTTATAAATAAAGATATTCATCAACGTAATGGGTTGTATTTACTTCCTGAAGACAGGAATGTCCAGCCGAAAGGCATTGCCGCCTCCTTGAACGTGCAACACAAAGGGGTGACCCTGTAACAGTTGTGGGTTTGAGAATAAAGCCCTGGGTATAATATTTAATGTAGTAACAATGACGTCACTGCATTTGAACTACATTTATATTTAAACGGCTACAATCGCAGTTTCTGCCGCATTTAGGAATCAATAGAACAGCATCAGTACACTTCGTCACGAGCTGTACCACTAATCCAGTGCGTGAAAGTAGCTGAAGCCCTCGTGAAAGCCAGCTGTTAATGGATCAGTTAAACTTTTCAGCATCTTATATATGTAAATGTCATTATTCTAATTAACAGTAAATAATCAGGAAATGAAAATTACTGTTTTCTGGGATGTGACAACATATGTTCTGGCTAACCGTCGCTTACATTGCAGAGGATCGCATTTTTCTCCGAATGTCGGTAACGATCTATCACATCTTAGAAGACAGGTTCTTCACATTCATCGGCAAGAGAATATAAAATTCTATGTTTAGTTTTCTTTCTATTAGGAAAGAAAGCATCAAAGCAAAAAGTATGCATCTTGTAATCTCTTTACAAATCACATTCATTACACATAATTTGCAGTGTCTGCAATAAATTTATGTGAGCAGTAGGTATAGGGTCGTGAATGATTATGTCCAGTGGATTGTCTCGTGTCCTCTTCTAGTGTTCACTTAATATTCATTGCAATGCTTCTTTCGTGTGGTGTTTCAATTTTCTTGTAGCTTCATTATATCTACATTCATCTTCGGGATGTCGCCTCATCTGCCATCTTCTTCTTACGTAGTTTTCGCTTTTCCTTAATATGGTCCTTGACTACCCCCGAGTGACCCGGTTATTTATCTTGAGGTTTGTCGTCTGGTGTTGCACCGGAAGCCATCTTTGGTATTGTATTGAACGGTGTACGTGTGGAATTCAACTTCTTCTCCATTAATATGTCTATTTTATTTTGTGATAATCCAGTCATTGTATTTATTGTGTCGTTGATTATTTTTAAAGTGTAGTTTAGTCTGTTAATGACGTGTTCCAGGAGGTTGGAGAAAACTGCACAATGAGGAGCTTTATAACTTGTATATTATATTTAAGCATCCTGTTAAACTATACACTTCTATATGTAATAATACAAATGCCGTCGTGAATGCAGCAATTTATTTGGTTGTAGTTCTTTGTCTTTTCTTCCTCTACACTACATGTTTCGGCCGTAATTGGCCATCATCAGGTGTATTTTTCACTACGTAGCTGTCACACTGTACATAATCCAAAATCTAAAACACCAGCCTGTCAGTTTTGTTAAAAATCTCGCCAACATACGCTCGTCAATTTTATTTTAGAATTGCAGTTTAAAATTTAAAATTCTTTAATTAAAATTCAAAATTTAAAGTTTTAAATCACAGGGACACCTGCTCTGTGTCTACATGTGCTGCAGCGGCTATTTCTTGTTTCCAGCACCGTTCATGTATTGTTCTGTGCAGGCTCCCTGTGTGTGTCGCTGCTCATCTTTAATAGTTTAAATGAAAAAAAAATTAAAATAAAAATAGGGAAAAGTGCTGCAAGTGGTGGTGCTGGATCCTTTCTTTCATGTGTAGTTCTGCCCTCAGTTTCTGCATGTCGCAGAGATTCAGATGTATTAGTGATTGTTAAATGTGTCGGCTAATCATTTGTTCCTTGCGGCTTATTCTTTTTCATTGTTTGCACGTTTCTGGTTCTTGGACTTGTTCTTTTCTTACCTCTTGCACCGACTTATTGCCAGGATAACCGATCGTCATTATTATGGCTTTTGGTGCTTTCTTCTGTTTCTGAGAAGTCTGATATTGAGGCTAGATGTTCCTTACTGTGGCATCTCCGACACTATGAAGCTTGGCGCAATGTCTGATGCATATGTGAGGGTTGTTTCAGTGTATCTGGTACACACTAAGAGTATGTTCTCTGGCGCATTTACATTTGCTGATTAGAATTAGTACCACAGTCTTGTGCTGACGATTGATTTCTCGCCGTGCTCTGCATCTTTGTTGACATCATAGCAGGAGCCCGCATCATTACCTCAGGATTCATGTTGATCATTTACAGTGTTGCTTGACTGAGGAGTTTTTCCATTGGCCGTTCTTCTAGTGCCTTGCTTGTGTTGGTCTAAGTAATGGTCACTCAGAATAAACTATTGTGGATAATAATCTGTTCTTCATGGAGGTACGTGCATACAATTGAATGAAATTGTGCACAGAAACTGTTCTTCCCTATTCATTCTTCTATGGAAGCTGCGAAACTTGGGAATGCCTCCTTTCTGAACTACAAAATTCAGAACGTCCTCAATAGTAAACACCTCAGATATTCAAATGTTTTGGTTGCTGTGTATTAACTTATGGATTGTCACTTTCACTGCCACCATGCAGACACGGCTTACGGATCGATACTCACTGCAGTTCTGCACTGTTCAGTGTCCAGTTCATGGCTATATCTTAAATGAATATTTCAAAGTTACTTAGATGAACAAAACTGATTTAGAAACATGCACACAAGCAGTGACTTTAAGCCTATTTTTCTTTCGTAAAAATTTCTTTTCTAGTACCCCAGATTCAATTTCTTAACCGATTGACTGATTCCAAGGTACTTTAGTATGAAGACCACCCTTAATATGGTGCAAATGTTAACCCTATCCCATAATTTTCCTTTAAAATGTAAGGCGATACCTTTTTAACAAAATGCACACTGAGAATCCATGTGCTTACAGCGAGAACAGTTGCATTATGTAACAGCAGTTGAACCATGTGGGTCTGTTGCGTCCGATGCTGCAGCAATGTGTCACGTAGTCACGTGGTTCGCTGCTCTGTGGGAATCATAAATTTAATAGAGAATGACCCTCAAAACAGGGGCATAAAATTGCACTAATTCAAGACCACTCATTTTTCTAAGCCACTGGCCTTCCTATGGGGCACACGATTACGTAGTTGGGTGAGGCACTATGCCACAAGCCGGAAGGTCGCATGTTCTAGTCCCAGTGAGGTTATTGGAGATTTCAATTTACCTAATTTTTCCAGCCGCACTATAGCCTTGGGGTCGATTCAGTTTCTAACAGAAATGAGTACCAGGAATATTCCTGGAGGTAAAGGGCAGCTAGCGTGTAAGGCTGACAACCTCACCACCATCTGTGAGCCGATTGTCTAGAAAACTGTGGGAGCCTCAACGTCTCACAGCACTGTGGCTCTTCACGGCTTGTTACAGGGATAGTTCTCTTTTACTGGTCTTCCTTATAATTATGTCTATTCTTGGCCTGTTCCAATTCTGAATTATTTCGAAGAAAATCGTTGAAAGAACAGGCGACACATGTCCTTTAATGGAGGTCAATGCACAGACCAGAGCTTACGTTATTACAGGACATGGAACAACAAAACGGGGCCGAAAAACATCAGTGCCTCGAGTCGTAGAAGTTGCCGTGCAGTTGTATTTATTGGACGTTATTGCATAGTTTCTGCTGTTATTTTTTATCGTACGTCTGAGGTCATATTAAAATTAACTCTCAGCCCGTTCCGAATGCTTTGATTGATTGCAAAGTTTCATATCTTTAATGACTTTATCTTGCATTAAAATGGATAGGGGACATAAATGGAAGAACATCTTGATCAATAACCGGCCAAATTCCTTTCTTCTTATTTCGAGTTGCCATTTTTCATAATTTTTACCTAATCCGCAAATAACAGTTATTGTATTTCCTTCTTTCGAAAGCTCCATCCATCGCTTTGTAACTTACTTCTTCCTTTCGGTTTTCCCCTTCCGCGGTTTCCACTGTCATAATAAAAGGGCGGAATTTGGTGCAAATCAGAGTCATCGCCTTTAACTTACAAGAACAAAGAAGCCAGAGACGTCATATATGATCGTTAAACATTTCGAAACGCAGCCACGGTACAGTTTTAAGTAAATTAATGAAACGAAATAGATCGATTTTTCAGAACAGTTTTATATCTCGAATGAATAATGAAAGATGAAAGATCCCCTCGTCTCTCCTAATGACAGGTCAGCCAGGGCTGAGGGAAATGTTATGTAGATGGGGGGTGAAGGAACGCTGAAAGTAACAAAGGTATTCATTTCAAATTTGCATTAAATATATAAAATAGGCAGAAGAAAATTGTATGCAGTCACGGAAAGAAATAATTTTACTACTTTCTATGAGGCCCTTACACGAGACGCTGTTATGCCATCAGTTTGTTAGGAAAGTAAATAATTTTTAAACGGAATAACTTTGAAGATATCTGAGTGAGATCTAATATAAGTAATTAAACAGAGTTTCGGGTTGAATTCACACACTGCCAGTACCATAAATTATGTGTAGTTAATGCCATATTTGCCGGTCACGGTAGCCGAGCGGTCTAAGGCATGCATTGTCTTCGCTCGCTCGGAAGCCGGCATCGTGGGTTCGAATCCCACTTAGGGCATGGATGTTTAGTGTGCGTTTTTCTGTGTTTGTCTACAGGTAGAGGCCTTGCGACGAGCTGATCACTCACCCAAGGAGTCCTACCGAATGTGTAAGATCTAGTAAATCGAAGTGAAACGGAGAGTTTCATGGAGGTAGGCCTAGGCCCAAATTGGGGCTATAGCGCAACATTAAAAAAATGCCATATTTAGGTATTTTAAATGGGTAATCCAGCAATAAGTAAATTTCGATTTAGTCAGAGGCTAAAATAATAAACGCGAGTGCAGAGCTAGTCCCGGCAGGGTTCAATTTATATTACTTCATAAATATAACAGAATATTTGATGTTATTACTATTGCAGATATTGTTATCATCATCATCACAGTCATCATCGGAAGAAGTTGTTAAACTGATGTTTGTTTGCGTTAAATTTGTGACATAACCGCAAGAATTCGCAGAGTCGCAGATTTGTAAATGTTAGCATAAACAGTACTTGATATGGAACCCGGTAAAAGTAAAAAAAAAATATGTAAAAGTATCCATGTAA